TTGACGAGAACAAAAAGAGACGAGTGAACAAATGTAGTGTTTGTAGGTCAACAAACCACCGGATCACCACCTGCCCTCAACGTCTTACTCAAATGTCATCTCAAACACGATCCACTCAAGATGTAGGCCCTGTCCCTATTCCTTCGACCAGCTCAGACGCACCAGGTAGCAAAGGCGTCGAATTGCCAACAACGTCGACTTTGGCTTTGGAAGACCTAGCCTTGCTTGATGAAGTCCTTGAAGCCGACTTCGAGATGATTGAAGCTGCTCACTCATCTTCAGATTCAGAAACGTTTGCAGAAGTACAACATGAAGACAAGGTTGCCAGTTCCTCCAGTGACTCAAGCGAAGCCAATGAAGACGAAAACCTATGTCCTTTTTGCGATGAACCCTTCCCTGCGCAACTTTCGACCAAGCTTATCGAAATGAAGGCCACCTTGTTGGCAATCCCCAATATCATGTCTTTGCCAGTAAGTATTTCCTTTGGATTTCCTTTTCTATCTCTTCTACTCGACTCTCAAGGATCCTTATGTTTGTCTAATGTTTGTTATTTGGTAAAACATCAGTTCACCCACACTGCTGAATTTTGCTATTTACACCAATGCGAACTCAACACTATTCCAGTTGGGATTGCCAAGGGTTGGTCAACCAACATTGATTTTGACGCTTTGGAAGGGTATGTAATCAATCTTTGCTGGTTGTGGATACTACATTCTGATAACTTTAGCATCTCACAGGCGTATCAATAATCACACCGATGTCTTAAGCAACATAGTTAACAAGATTGAGCCGTCTGTTTTTCTGGGAGCCGCCAACAAGAAAGACAAGGGCAGTAGCAGAGCGCCAGGCATGGTCAACTTTGAGGTCGAGCAACCGGGGTAGTAAGTTGCATCCTTTTTACTTTTCAAGGAAGAAGTTTGGCTGATATATACATGTATCAAATTCGAATTCAAGTTATGGATATCAGGGATATGTAATCATCATTCGGACCCTGGAGACTATCTTTATTCACAATACATCATCCCAGCATCACCTTGATTCAGCGAAAGCCACCCCTCTGACTCCGGATTACTTTCTCCGAAGAGTATTGCTCCCTGAGGTGGCTCTCTGTCTAATCGCTGAAGATATGAACTTAGACCGAACTGATCCCCAAGTACAGGCTACTTTGGAAGCAAGTCGGGAGTTTGGTGCGGTACTATTTCCAATGCTCGATGATTCGAAAGTGACTACAAACCAATGTTTGAAACTGAGTGCAAAGCAAACACCCAAACCCACGATTCATACTGCACCACCTCCACCAAATCCGACGGGAAAGGAAATACCTAAACCCACAACTCACTCTTTGGCCGCACCCATGTCAAAGGCAGGACTAGACGATTCGGTCTTTTTGAAACAACTACCCAAAGTAGTTGTCACATACATTGAAACGGTTTTCAACCCACCTGCTTATGGCAATTGCGGCTTCTACGCAATTGCTGATGCTCTTAAGATTTACAACACGGACTGTTATGTTTTAATTCGCCATCAACTGCGGGAGGAGCTCACTTATAACAGGGCATCCCATGAAGAGTTGCTTTCGACTCCAGGAAGTAACAGACCACGGCCACAGATGACCACTCGGCAAACTATACCTCATGCCACCGAGGTTGTCAATGATCTGCTTTTTCGGCTTCAACCCCAGGGACCAATATGTACTAAGGAATTCTGGATGAGGATGCCATACCTGGGCTACGTCATTGCCAGTGCTTACAAGCGCCCAGTGATATTGTTTGATCCTTGCGACGTCAATTCTTACACCTTTTTCCCACATCGCACGGCGCCCAACGACAATGATCCTATAGTATTGGCCTTTGTCAATCGAGATCATTTTGTGAGTTTGCGATTTGGTGCGCGTTTAGTTCCGTTTCCTGAGGTTTACAACCATCAAGTATCGACCTCAATCAAACACTCTCAGATACCAGGGTGGATCAAGAAATATCAAGTGCAATTGGGTTGGTGGGCAAATCGTGGCTCTTAGTGTTTTTTGTCTACTTTGTTATCTATGTAGGAAGTCATGTGTCTGTCTCTCATTTGTCGGTTGATGTCAATTGTTTTGTGCATGATCAAGAATCTGTTGTCTGCCTTTTCTACTTCTACTTCCAGGCTTTTTTTTGAAAGCTTGTATGCCCTTATGCCCCGATGTTCAATTTAAGCTATGCTATGCGAATTTATGCCACATACCAACCGTTGTGCTCCTAAAACTGTCAAGGAAGTGAAATGTGAGAAGGAGATTTGAAAACAAGGAAAAGTGAAAGAAATGTTTTTGAAATCGAAAAGGATGGAGCCTGTCATGTGGGCCCTATTTTTTCAAAAGGGGCGGCAAATGGCTTGTCGCCCTAGAACCCGGTCCGAGAGGGGGCTCCGGATATTGATCCGGGGGCGGAAAATAGTGGGATCCTTAAAATATTTCATTTCAATAACACATGTTCAATCGACTTCAACCATACCATCACCTTCCATGTCATCCGCTTGGCCAACTATCCGATCATCCATCCCATCTTCCATGGGGACTACATCATCAACTTCGAGATTCTCCATTTGGTTATCATCGTATCCGACCTCCTTGTTCACATTTAGTTCAAGAAGGCCAAAGTTAAGTTCAGCCAACTCGGCTTCGTCCAGGGGATTTGAAATCACAATATCCGATTCAGTAGCTGCCTTCCATCTCAGCCTACTTTCTCCCACCAAAGCCAACCACCGAAGCTTAATTGACTCTTCTTCTCCTTGCAATAGTTCGCTGTACACCCGGGTTTTATCAATCACCTCACACATCTTGACATTCCACACCATACACAAACGGGCTTGATCTTGGCTGAACCGTGTGTAAATAGCCCTGAGGACCTTCTTGCTGATTTCCAATCGTTCTGTTGCAGTTGCTGCAGTGGGCCGAACAAGGCCAGCTAGCCATTGGTTTGCCACGGTTTCGGTATCACCATCTTTGAAGAAATCAGGGTCAGTATAAAATTTATCCACTGTCTCGATTGTTTCAAATAAACCACTTTCATGAATGAGCCTAAAACTGACCTTCGAGTTCTAGGGCTGTCAATAAGACTGCCAGTTTGTCCTGCATTTCCAAAGCCCACTTAGCTGATTGTCTGCATTCGCGACCCACCCGACGTAGCTCATCCTGAGAATGGCTCAGCTCAAGGTAAGCTCGGATCCCATCCCGAGTGTCTGGATCCGCCGCCCACGCCTCACCTGGATGTGTGAGTTGACCAATGTCCCAAAAGTGGTCGGTCAGGGGCAACCTCTGGATCTCCTCAACTGAGGGGCACTCGATCGGCTGTTGTGGATTAAACTCGGTATTAAACTTATTCACATTACGCAAAAAAATTGTGTACTTGTCTTTCAATGATTTTTGTTTTTCTCTCAAGTGCTTTTTTGACCGTTGTTGCATCCTTGTACCTGTTCAAATCATGCCATTTGAATATCTCCTGTAGTTAGTTGTGTTGTGGCAACAAATGTAACATACCTTCTCTCTCGTCGTTTTTCCTCTGGCTCTCATACACATCCACTTTGGCGCCGTAAAGCTTAGTCTTTGCCACTCGTATTCTAATGAGTAGTCGGCCTTTAGGTGCTAAGATGAAAAGAAGATGTAAGCTTTAAGTTTGAGATACAACTTCGGAGGGAGTGGTGCAAACTTTTTGCACCGGGCATCTCTCGGTAGTGATCACCTCCAAGCTCATCCACCAATTCATTGATCTGCTCTTCGATGATGAGTAAAGTCTGCGGTATATGCAATATTTTACGTTTTTCCGCCGCAGTGCGACACTGTCTCTGTTTGGCTCGCAGAGCTTTGAGTTCGTTCCTAAAGAAGAAATCATGCCTCACTTGAATTAATAGCACATGATTGCTCTGAAAAAGGAACGTTACCAACTCAGCCTCTCGATGCTGGTCTTCCAGCTCAACCAAGCGGTTGATCATTGGAGTCAAGAGCTTTGAAGTCACGTTGACCATGGCATGCAGCTGACTAGCTCTTTGCTTAGTCCACTGCACTTTGAAGTATTGATTTGTATATGTAGCATTTTTTTGTCGCAATGCATTCAACTTCCGAATGCTCTGTTCGTTTGTTTTCTTACTAGATACTAGCCGCGCCAACAACCATTGTACTGTTGAAAGTATACATCAAGGGTAAGAACTGGGTGATATTACACCGATGACTACTTAAAATGTAACCCACCTGATCGCTTTCTCTTACCCTCATTAGTGTGCCGTGTTCGCAAAGCTAACGCACAAAGTCTGTGAGCCTTTGTTGAATATCTCAAAGCTCCAACTAACTGGGCCAGGCCGGCCCAAACTCGCTCCAACCCTTCTCCATCCGAAAGTCCCCAGTCGTCATTCAACCTGGGGTTGTATTGTAATTGACAAGCCCATTGATGGACGTAAGAGTGAAAGACGCTGGTGCCGAACTTCAACCTTTCAGCCCTCCGCTGTTGAACAAACAACTCCCGCTGCTCACCAACATGGAACAACACTATTGGTCAAATGGATTTCCTACATAAAGGTTTACAAATTCACCTTAATAATACTCTTCTCCAAGTTACATCCTATGTCGTATAGGATTCCAAACCTTGGCACTTCACCAGCCGCGTTCGTAGTAGTTTGTAAGATCCAATCAAGCATTGCGAGAGGATAATAGCCACTGAAGTATACATAGATTGTATGTGAGTCACCATGCAGAATCTGTATCATACAGACAGTTCATCAAATAGATGTATTGGACCTACCGTTCTCCTGATTGAACAATATTGATGAACTTGAGTAAGATGTCATGGCGACAAGCCATACCCATCAACCCCGTCTCATCGCAGCCACGCCAGGTCTGGGTGCCTCGGGTATCATTTGCTGCCGTATGCTGTGCGCTGCACGGATCCTGTGTTGAGAAAGGTCGAGAAACAGCGTCAATCACCCCATATCTACAATACAAGGCATGAACTTCTCACCACTACGTCATCTACAGGTCAAGAAGTGTTGACTCGCTGATTAACAGGTCCCATCTTGACTTTCCAAGTTAGAACTTGGGCTGGCGAGAGGAAAATTGATGGTATAACTCGAGATTCACCCCGCCACGCAGCACTTGCCATCAGGTGTCGACGTTGCTGGAAATTCGCATCCAGACATGCGATGGGGTCTGGTTCGTCAGGTCGCTTGCCAGGAACGTTAGGACCAAGACAGCTAGGGCACTTCGCGGCTAATTCGTCCATAGGTGTTAAACGCAGTGCTGATGACACCATTTCCTCCTCCATGCGCAGCATTTCTCGGTATGCATCAACTGCTGCTGAGAAACACCGGCGCAGATGTCGAGTCTGTCAATTAGAAGTGCTAAGATCATCTAAGGACATTCAACTTCAAATATGAAAGGAAATACTAACCTGATCAGTACCCGGAACCTGAAACAAGCTATTTCGAGGATCTAGGTATTCATCCATTGTCTCGGTGAAGGCAGCAATTCGAACACTTGAATTCTTCCATAACGTATGGTGGAACCGAAGCAATCGAATAGAGAATGCTGTACGTGGAAGAATTGGTTTGGAACCCATGTATCCGAGCCGAACTAGCCGCACCAAGTCGGATGTGCAATCACACACCACAACGGAGAGCTTCATCCGGCCTGAGTGGGTGTGTCAAGTCCTCAGTTCACTACACAATTCTTTTGATAGCGTAGAGAAGATGATTAATCTTACTTGTCAAATCAATTGTGTCTACTTCGACTGTTCGTCGTTGCCAGTCTTTGCATCTACAGTCACGATTCCAGTCTTGATTCCACGATACGCGATCACACCATTGATACGTTTGTCGGCTACAGATCATAAAAGCCGGGAACACCTTGGGTAGAACTGCTGCCCAGTGAGCCTCTTCTCTAAGTGCGCGTTCTTGATATGTAGTGCTTCTATAGTACTCGGCTCGATTGACCGGATTTTCGTTTCCTTCGCCATCACTAGAACGAGCTGGATCATTACCATCATCCCTAGTCAAGGCATCATATACATATGCGTTGGGATCTACAGGTTGTTCGACGGGCTGGTCAGGGGCAGGTCGATTCAACGCCGCGATGGCCTTTCGGGCCGCTTCATCTTCTTTTGCTTGCAGGGCTGCGAATCGCTGAGTGGCTACACTGCCTTTTTTTGTGGTGGGCTTCTTTGCTCGCTTCTGTGGCATTGGGATGTTTTCGCCAGGTAGGGGCATTGTGGATGTTGTTAAAATGAAGATAAAAGATTGCAAAGAGATAATGAAATTCCGAGGTTTGAACAGAGTGATGCACGGTATTTTCCAACAGGAGTTGGATAAACTAGGACTAACCAGGGTGACACTAAGAATTACCACCAGTGCCAAAGCATCGATTTGATCATTAACTCGAACAGACATCTCCCCATTGAGTGCGTGTTACTCGCCAAGCAAAAGGACCCCTGGGTCCGTAAATTACGGAAGCCGTGACGTGAAGTGACCGCCACCGTTTTTTCAAAACTTCGGTTTTCGGTTTTTGGTTTTCGGTTTTTGGAATCTGGGCATTTCCTTCAATTTTCGATACACACCACGGGCTACCATCACCGAGAACACCAACTGACACCATCACCACCACCAAGGGTTTATTCCACACTCGTATTTTTACTCAGCACCCACCACCGAGCATTTTTTTCCACATCTGTCTTTTCACCACCAGCTAGCTACCAACATCACCACCCACCACCCAGCTATTTTTTCACACTTGTCTTTTCACCAATCTAGCTATCACCACCACCACCCAGCTCGAGTATCTTTTATCAAAGTCCAGACTTGTTTCAATTATCACTCACTCAATCAACTTGGTATCCTTTACAGTCAATAAACTTGTAATTGACTTGGTATCATTTACAGTTACAAATCACCTACCCCTCAATCAATCAACAACCTTTCTGATCAAAGAAACTGTTGGTTTTCCAAATAGGTTGAATTTTGAGGAGGTGATTGTCAAGATCAACCTCAATTGTTTGAGAACTCAGAATAATCAAAAATACTTGGCATACATTTTTTAAAACAGCCTCATGATTGAAATGTCGTAAGTTGTGTAAAACAATCAATAAGTAAGTGATACAAACTCTGTGAAATGATCAGGTTCCAGATTGTAATCACCATGATTTGTGATTATACTCTTTGCAATTGAAAGATACTTATGTAATTTTTTTGTTCAGATGAGGGCCAGCCAATTCAGCATTTTGATGTGTAGTTAGTGTAAGAATTAATGGATCGATAAGAAGTTAAAGAAGAAATTTAAAAGGTTAACACAACAGGTGTTGAGATAAGAGCTCGCCAATTCGACTTTGATGTGTAGTAGGATCACAGTCAAATCGGCGAGCTCCAATACTTTGGTATTGATTGATACGATTGAAGTTGATAAGATTTGAGGTCTGGATATTTGAAGGCACAAGAGTTGAATCGGTCGAGCAATTTGACCGACTCACTGTAAATTGAGAGGGAGGCATGGTTGCTTTTCAAAATTCTTCTTCTCCCTTGGTGGTGGTGATGGTGTCAGTTGGTGTTCTCGGTGATGGTAGCCCGTGGTGTGTATCAAAAATTGAAGGAAATGCCCAAATTCCAAAAACCAAAAACCAAAAACCGAAAGGATCCCACTATTTAGCGCCCCCTTGGGCAATATCCGGCGCCCCTCGAGTTTTGATCAATACCCGTGTGGCCCGTCAAAACCCGAGCACTATCAGCCTAAGTTTTGCTGAGTCGGACCCTGAGGGCTCCTTGAGGGCTCCTCACGGGGGCACAACTTCACAGATGAGCCCTTTATTTGACATTTTTGGTGCCCTTCCATCCTCGATGGGGCGACAAACATCATTGAAGCAAACGAAAGGGAACCTAAGTTCTTTTGCGCCCGGACCGGCCCCATGACTGCACGGACATCGGCCCCTCAAGTCACTCCTTGTTGAACTTTTCCTTCTTTCCTGTCCCCCCCACTGATCACATATTCAAACTTCAAACAACAACCTTCAACACACCCATCAACCTTACATCAACCTAGCAGTTCCTCCTCGATAAATTCAAGCTTATAAAACCATCAAACATTTAAAATCATTACTAATCTCATCCAAGACAAGATATGACTCAAAATTCAAATCTGATCTAGACTCAGCATAGGATCAGCATCAAGAACTCCCAATCTAGACTCAATATCAAGATCACTGTCAGCATTACCTCAACTTGAATGCTTCTCATTTCACTGCAGGTCATCGAAACCAACAAACTTGGATCCTCCAGCTTTATCGAATCTACATAACTCAGGTTTTACACTTTATGTCATGTTTTAAAAACATTTACTCACTTTACTCAAACTAAATAGCAGATGTTCAAAACCATTGAACATTTTTTAAACAATGTAGATGACAAAGGTTTAGGTCAAGTCTTTGAGCCGATTAAAGATACCTTAGAAGGTAACCATATGGTGTTCAATGTCATCTCACTCACCAATCAACTTGCGATGAAATCTTGGTCTGTCCAAACAGTTTCCTTTGTATATATTGCCAAACCATTTCCTATACTGATTCCTTCCCTTGTTTTTCAGGAACCAGATATCAAACTCAAGGGCCCAACTGAATGAGTCATTACACTTACTCAACACTTGTTCAAAACAAACTTCATCTTTGTACACTTTCTAGCACGGTGTAGTCTTGTATAACTGAAATTAAAGCAATGAAAATATTCAAACATCTTTGTTTGGGTTCTTGAACATCAAGACGGCTAAAGATACTGTCAGGAGCTTGCCGTATAGATTAGCATTCAGCGCTCTTGATGGGAAAAACAAGGACAAGAAGCCGAGTTGATTTTTTTTAAATCTATTCTTTTTTGACTGGGATAGTCTCAATTCAAATTCAAAAGAGTTGAGTTGAGCTTACATATTTGAGGCATTAACAATCCCCTTTTTTGCCTCGTATATCTTCGGTCCAGTCAAAATGATGTATTATCTACCAATGTCCCATCTTATGTTTTAAGACCGATATCTTGTATCAACCCCCGATGCATAAGATATGTTCATGCCGATGCATGTGGTCTTGTGTGCTTATCAAGCTCAGCTTCTCGGACTATCATCAAAGTGACATTGGCTCAGTATTTTACTTCGCTTACTTCAGAGGGTTCAAGGTTAAAGGTGTATCATGTAAATACAAAAGAGGAAATCCTTCAATGAACAATGGAGGATAAGTATAAATACACAAGATGAGATGAAATGTGGGAGCCCCAATCAGGAGCCCCTTTTTTTAAAAGGGGCGCCTGAAGTGTTTGTAGCCTGGTGTCCGACCCGAGAGGGGGCGCCGGATACTGTTCCGAGGGCTCTAAATAGTGGGATCCAAACCGAAAATCGAAGTTTTGAAAAAACGGTGGCGGTCACTTCACGTCACGGCTTCCGTAGTAAATGGTATGTATTTACAACAAGAGATTTTCTTTTGGGTTACGACCTCAAGAATACAATTTCAAATCCCTGTATAAGAATCTGAGATAGTGCATAACAAGCACACATTATCTAATCCCGAGCTCTGACCTGAAACATAGTATAGATCTCAGAGTAGATATTTGGTTCGTAAAGCTATCAACTCATTTGGATACAATTTAATGGGCTGGTTTAGTTCAGCTATCAGCTGATTTAGATATGAAAAGTCCTTTCTAACAGATCGATGGGAAACTGTAAAATGTCATGGTTTAGAATAATCATGATGACAATAGTTATATCAGGATGAAAATGTACATACTTGTTTTGGAAACAGAAGTACTTTGGAGCGTGATATATGACAACTCTATTCAATATTGTTGATTGTGAGTTAAGGCAATAATTGATCTATCTCCTCTGTTTGTTTCATGTCTGGTCCTACAATTGCTTACTGCGCTCATATCAGATTTTGCAATTTTCTTACTCTTACTTCTTTCAGTCCAGTGATCATTCCACCAAAGAAGGAGTCAAAGTTGATACTATTTTGAGAAGGAAGATGTGGAGATATGAAGAAAGTTGAATAATGAAACTTTTTGGGCGCGTAGGAAAGCATATTTAACAAAGAAGCAATCTTCAACTTTCCAACATCTTGAATATGTTTAAGTAGAGTGTGTACTTGAGCGGGAGAGAAACCTATGAATTTCCATATTCAAACATGATTTTGAGAAGGAAGATGTGTAGATATGAAAAAAGTTGAATAATGAAGTGACCTGATCACACTTTCAAGGATAAGCCATGTTTCTAGATCCACGAAACTAATGTGTCAGTTTTGTAAGAAAATCTAGAATCCAACATGAAATACTAATCACGAGTTAGAATTCCCCAAAACTGGGAGCACTCTATAGTGGCATCCTTTGCTTGATTCAAGTTTGAGTTTGATTGTGTTGGGATTGAGATTCAATTGACATGAAGTGTAAGTGAGTCATCCAATTTTCGATATCGACCAATATATTCTGATTAGATTTGAAGGCGTTTGAACAGTGTGTTTGAGAAAATGCATTTCGATCTAGATC